TAGATTTATACTGTGAATGCTGCGCGAGAGCACTTTGAAGGACTGCTATTATTAGAACAGAATTAGTACTTCAATAAGTGCAATTTTCAAGTGGCGATTATTTTTAAAACCCTCAAGTTATATCTCTTGGATGTATTTCATTGCAATTATTACACTCACATTCAAGGTTTTAGAAAATGCTTGAATATTTGGCACATCTAACAATTCTTTTGTATTACGAAAATTAATGAAATAAAAGAGAAAAAAGTTAATTATAAGATAAAGTCACTTAGAAGATATGGGGAAAGAGAAGAGTGAAACCACAAAACGCAAAGAATTGATTAGTTTTTATATAAGGACGGAATTCCACGTGGAAGAGAATATTTTTCTTCTTTGTGTTTACACGAGATGGCTAGGCGAGGAAGAAAGGCAAACAGCATTTGATCATCTTTCTCCTCAGGAAACGCTTCCACTCTATTGCCTCTTTACCTCAAGCTTAAAACTAAATCATCGTAATCCAAAAAGATGATCACTTTTTCTGTAGTTATGTAGATACCCTTTAAAGCTTTATTTGAAAGAGTATCTTTTCATAAAAACCCATCTACTGCCGAGTCTGATTGACTCCAACAAGATTTTATTAAGGAACACCAAATCCTTAGCCATATGCCCTCTTTTGTTTACCCATCGCTCAGATGTGCCTACCGCTTACCCGCAATTCCTCCATTACTGTACTAGGATAATGCGGGTCAATCGATATTGAGTAATATTCCCTGTGCATTAGCACAGTCTTTAGCGCTTTCTAACGCTGGTGTTTCTTATCTGGTCACGACAATTTCGCGCTTTTGTACATTCATTCCACGCCTTCTTTTTTCATGATATTTGCTTTAGATATGACGTAGGAATGTACGAGAAACACCCCGCTAAACTCATATACTTGACGGAGAATGGCTACGCTTCCGACCAAGGTCAGTTGATCGGAAATCGCTGATTCGTTTTATGAACCGAACACCGAGAGGGCACTCCCTCGTTTAGCGAGAAACTCTTAGGAATTACCGAAATGATTAAATGAAAATTTTGCTTTTGTCCTCTCCAAATTAGGAAAACTGGAAACAGAGGGGAAATTTGTTTGGAGATATATATTAGAAAGGTGGAATTATTTTTGCATTTGTAAATTTCCTATCGATAAATAGTTTCGAGATGAAACATTGCTACTGATAACAAGGCTTTCATTCGTTGTTACACCTTTATTCCATGTTGGATACTCTATCCGATGAAAAGCACTTATATTAGAACGTGTATTGCTGAAAACAACCCATTTTCTTTGTTGTTTCATGGTCATTTGGGCTATATGGAGAAAAATCGCAAAACTGGACCATGGGCCAGAGAAAATCAGATTATTTTCGAAATTACTCGTTATTTCTAAATAATAATCAGCAAAATTTTCTTCAAAAATAATGAATGTTGCTGCCTGTTATAGTTTTCACCAAGAAATTATGAGGATTTCGGGAAAATTGATACTTTCCTATATTTTTTAAGTTTGATCTGATCACAAGCACAGTGGTTTTTTTTCGAATGATTGTATAGTAGACGCTTAAAAGGCACTGACAGAGGATGTGAATTCCTTGAAAAAGTAAAAGTTGATTATATTTATTTGATGTCTAACTCATCCTCGACACAAGCATTGTTTTTTGACAAAAAACAAGAATTAAATTGTCATTTAATGTAAGCTGAATATATAACTTCTCATAAAAGAATCATCTCAAAAACTAAAACTAAATTTTACAAAAATTACTACTTGACATGTTCCTCGTTTTATATCGAGACGATTAGGTTGGAACGTAAGATTTCTAATCTGCTTTAAATTTTCATAACCTAAAATAAAAAACAAAACAGAACTTCTGTAAAAGGCTACTGTAAAATAATCAGGGGCATATGAAAGTCATACATAAGCTTCAAATATCTCTGATGTACCTTGAACTGCCTTATTTTAGAAGATGGTGGTCTTGCCGAAGAGCAACTGGATCGAATTCCACGTCAACTGTTTGTACGACGCTTCGATCTATTCTGTTTCTGCTTTGCAATGATTACTTACTGTTTTGATATAATTAGTGATATCGTCACAGCACTATTCCACTATTACGATGATCGGGTCAGTTGTGATGCAAATTTTTGCAGTTAATTTTGGTAAACTCGGAATGTTTAGGCAGTCGCTTGCTTGTTCATCTTGCTACTTTCCATCGTTCCGTCTATAGTTTTAAATGCTGTATCTTTTGCTTGGATATGTGATGATAATCAAAATAAGGCTAAGATAGCCAAAGCCCAAGGAAATCAGGCCATCGCTGAAAACGGCAGGGAATCCTACCTCTACCATGCACTTATGTGCATTTTACAGGTTAGTACATCAAGGTAATGTTTTATATTAGCTCTTCTTAGCTCTTAGCATTAGGTTGGGCCCTTGTGGTGGTACTACAAAGCGTTGATCCATGGAATTCACTTTCGCATGGAGTCTGATCCGGGCAAAAGGCGGAAACACTTCTGTCGAATGATCGAAGCCGAACGGGATGCTACACTGTTGCGATTTTTTGAGGGATTCCTTGAATCAGCTCCTCAACTAATAATTCAAGGAAATATACTTTCTGAGTACCTGTGGTGGCATTTCAATGAGACTAATAGCATATTCGCGCTTCCACGATGGGGTAGGTAACTCATCAAATCTTTCACTTCTCTTAAATTGAATAATCAGGTATTTTTCAGTCTATGTCCAACTAATATCCATGATGTTATCTCTATTGAGCGTTTGCTGGTCCATATCCATACAACATCGAAGTTTACGTATGGTTAGACCTGACAAAGTCAACATGCACCCTCATGAAAGCGTTATGCAGGTTGGACAATAATTAATTT